AGGGTCTGAAGTACTATATGGTATGGGGTTTAGGGTTTCGGGTTTGGGGTATGATGATATGATCTTCTAAAGAATTCTTTACACAGGTTTAAATTAGTTATGGTAGACTACCCTATTCGAACTATCAAGTCCCTATTACTACCTGAGACCTTTCGTGGTTTCGTGGTTGGAAAGTGTCTCAGTCCACGGGCATTGTGGGCTCCCTAAACCCTAAACGGTCCAGTAGGAGAACGGAGTGGATACATTTTACACTTCTTTGGGATACTAGTACCCACTATAAAACAGAAAGTGTACGCTTTTTGGAGCTTATGAACTCAACAACTAAGAAACAGTTGCCTGTCCTTTACCAGGCTAACAAGATCTTGGTGTCTGTTTTGCAGCTTTCATTAGTTGGGCTTTCGCCGCGTTTGTACGACTCCCTTCGAACTCAAAGCTCAAGCACTTCTGGAACCCTAAACCCTAAACCCTGAACCCTAAACACTAAACCCTAAACCAAGCAATGCGCGGCAGGACAACAGCCAGGAGTATCCCCAGCTCACCAGCTTGTCCGAGGTACCTTTCTGCTTGTTTCGATAGGGTCTCAGCTCTTCTGGTCCCTGTCTCTCTAAGGTTGAGTTGAACCCATGGGCCCCTAACATGGGCCCTTTGGGATTCTAGGGTCCCTTAAGGGTATATATAGGGTATATAGTAGGTATATTAGGGTCCCAGGGTTAAGGGCCCATACTAGGGGCCCATGGGTTCTACCCTAGAGTCTCTTGATGTGCTGGAACAGAAAATTCTGCATTCGTGCATTCCCTGCTTTAGTGCTCATGCAATGAGGGTCGTGGAGGCGCAATACACCGCGGGGAAAGGAGCCGTCTATCGCTGCACCACTACAATCTTCGCAGTCTTACAATCTCACCCGCAGCATTAAGGGATGTCAAAATGGCGCAGCAGCAGCAGCAGCAGCAGCAGCAGCAGCAGCAGCAGCAGCAGCAGCAGCAGCAGTGAACGCCGCAGATTCAACGACCGGTTCAGTTGACACTTTGTGAAGTGTATATCTTCGTCTCGTCCTACATTGACATGGGCACGATTGTATGCAGACGTGGCTGGATCCGGAGGCCAAGCGGAACACATAGTTGCAAAGTTTTGCAGAAGCTTCCCCAAAAAGACATCCCATCATCAGCAAGCCTCAGCACAGAAGTCATTCAGCAAACGTGCAGGGGATGGCTGTCTTACCTTCTTTTTCATGCTTGAATCAAGACCTTGGAGGAACAGCGCCAGGTAAGGTCAGTTTTTTGGAAGCTGGCTTGTCCCTTTCTGAGTTGGATTTCGTTTCGTTGCTGGCTGCTGGCTTGTTCCGCTGCATCAGACACACCCCTAAACCCTAAACCCTAAACCGTGCAAGTTGCCACTGTTGCGAGATCAGCTTCGGGCTTTGGCCATTTCTGTACTCAAGCCTTCTTAGCTTGTCGATAGCAACGTGGGCTAGCTCCCGTGCCACCCAACAGTGGACCAATGCAGCTGTTCGTGCCATGCTGGACGTTGATGCTCTTGAGTCCATGCCTCGCGCTGAAGTTGGGCGACATGTCCGAAAGCCTTCCAACGTGTGAGGGCACCATGTTGACCACAAAGGCAGATGGCAAGGACCATTGGCAGTGCGACGACCTCAGTGGTGCCGTTTCAGATGAGGCGCAGAAGAAGTGCAAGCAGAGCTACGACACGGAAGGATCCGTCTACATGCAATGCGGGGTATTGGCGAGGAACGCAGGCCACTTCAATTGCTTGGCTACAAAAAAATGCCAAAAGGCTGTGGATGCCAACGAGGTGTGGGACAGTCTTGCTACTATCAAGGAAGATATGGAGCCTTCGAAATCCTTCATCAAGATCCCCGACACCACCTTGACGGGGGGTTGGCGTAATCAGGGCCCTTGCAAGGCTGACGGACCGAAAGTTCGTAGTTTGTGGAGAGAAAGAGCGCCTCAAGGGCTTCGCGTGCAACGTGGTAGAGGCGACTGATTCTGGGTACCCAAGTTGTACACTTTTTTCCTAATTTTTTGGGGATCTCCCTATTAAGACTGACGATTAGAACAAACATACCCAAGTAGTACTCTTTGATTTTTATTTCGGGAGATCTCCCTATGAAAAAACAGACACTTAGAACAAACATATTACCCTCAACCCTAAACCCTAAACCCTCTTACCCTTTGTTTTCGGGGCTCCTGGAGAACCTAGGATTCAGGAAGCCTTGAGGTGGGCTCCAGCACCCAACTCTCAAGCGGATCAATGAGTGGCTGTTGCTTTATGATTCTTTGGTATTTTTTCGTTTTTTAAGTAACGTTTTTCGGTTCTCGGATCACCCACACCCCCGCCCCCCCCCCAAAAAAAAAAATAAAATAAAATAAAATAAATAATAATAAAAAATACGTCGTGTGTTCTTAGCTCCGAAGTGGGTATAGGTTACATCGGCAACGTCGCAGAAGACAAAGCGGTCTTGTGTCACAAGAAGGGCGACCTGCTTCAATGTATGGTGCTTACTGCCAACGGCCGCAGCCTCACCAAAAGTGCGGCTGTTGACTTCCCCAAGCGCTTGGACAGCGTTCAGTTCTCCTTCAGGCCTACCCCTCAACCCTCAACCCTAAACCCTCAACCCTCAACCCTAAACCCTAAACCCTAAACCCTAAACCCTAAACCCTAACCCTAAACCCTAAACCCTAAACCCTGAACCGTTCTCCTGCAGGCCCACCATGGTGAAGCTGGAGAACAACAAGGTTCTGTTGTGCTTCAATGAGCGCTTCGAGTGGGCCAAGGACCACTCGCTGTCTTGCGCGGTGATGACCGAGGAGGACCGTGACTTTTCTCGCCTCTGATGAGAGCTTATGCTTTTTGGGTGGTCTCGCTTTCGGTCCTTTTTCCCCACATCTTTGTGTGGGTTTTTGTTTTTTAGGCTGCGCTCCCCCCGCCCGCTGCCCGCCTGCCCGCCGCCTCCTCCTCCCTCCTCCGCCTCCCTCCTCCTCCCGCCCTCCGACCAAGACATACCCGTCATCCACGCACACCGTGCCGATCAAGGCACGCCCATCACCCACACACACCGCAACAACACGCACTAATCAACACAGGAGCCCCGCTCCCATCAGCCACACACACTCCGCCAACCAAGACACACACACACACACACACACACCGCAACAGCACAACATGCACCAATCAACACAGGAGCGCATCGCATAAAAGGGTCGGTCCCGGGCGTTTCGCGTGGAAGGGTCGTCACTTTCGGCGTCGCCTCACTGCGGCTTGGGGAAATCCCTTTCAGGGACGGCATTTGGGAGCCACTGAGGGGTCTAGCGGTTGGGCTGCGCGTCTCGGTTCCGGCCTTTTCGCTAAAGCCATGGTCCCCGAAATCGGTCGTTCCAAAACTCTTGCCAATACCATGGTCGCCGACGCTCTTGGTTTGTCTGTGTCATGTATGCTGAACCTGCCAGCTGCGCTGAGTGCAGGTGACTGACGTTGTTGGCATGTCTTGCTCAGGCAGTTTAGGTCAGGTGATCCCTGCTAGATACTGCATTCCTGTGCGCTGCGCTCAGTGAGCGTGCCCGATGCCGCTGCCTTCTCTTGCCGAATCAGCTGAGGTGAGCTGATGTTGCTACACACAATCAAGCCGAGCAGACTTTTTAGTGAAGTGTGTCCGGGTCTCGTGCATTTGCTGACGACCCGTCTTGAGAAACAGTTCTTGCACGCTTGTGAAGCGCATGAGGTTCCCTTTCGATCGAAAGCTTTCAGGCATTGTAACTGTAGGCACCTGGTTAGCGAGCACTCATGTCGGTCCAAGTGCACTATGGCGCATATCGCGCACGATCGAGAGTGGGAGTGGGAGCACCACAGAAGGTGGCCAAGGATTTGGTGCGGCCACTTGCGGCTCAGTCTTGAGAGACATGCAGAGAGGGCGTAGTCTACCAGCCCGGCTTGCCAATCTCCGTATTGTCATGCGCTGCTGGGTGGACGCTAGTAGCACGGCTGCACATCCCCGGCAGGACACCTACCTACCCGTCTCGCAACCAAACGCCTTGCCCACTGCGTTGGGTTTCATTTAACAGCTTGCGGCATGTGCACGCACCCAGCGCATCCAGCAGGCAGCATCTGGCAACCAGGAGCCCACCCACCAAGGAGCGCGCGTGCACCTGTATCAACATCACTCCTGATGCACACCGCCGCTCTTCTTGCGGGAAATCTTGGACATGTGGGGTTCTCCGGTCTTTTACTTTGTTCAGGCCTAGGCTTGGGGGTGGAGCTCAGAACTTAGTGCAGGGCAACCAGGAGATTCCGGAAAGCTGCTATTCCAGATTCCATGTATAAGTCTTCCTTTTTATTGACCCTTCCCCCTAAGATTAAAACCCCCCCTCCTCCTCCTCCTTAAAAATCCATATTCTCAATATACTGCAATATACCATACGGGGAAACACTCGATATTAGGGGGGAGGGGGGTGTAAATACAAGTGGGAAGGGATTAGTCCTAAACCCCGGCGTGATTGGGGCGCTGCCAGGACGGAGCACTCACTCGCGGCAAAGCCACCACGGCTTTGTTAGACTACAGGTAATGCTGAGTTGTCCTTTAGGCAACTACTCCCTATATGGGTGGTTGTCAAAATTATGCTTCCTTTTTGGGTCCTGATTATAATACGGCACCTATGATTTAGGGTACCCAAAAAAAAGGGACCATATTTTTGACAACTACCCATATGTACTCAAGGGTTTAGGGTTTAGAGTTAACCTTTATTCCTCCTGAGGTACTGGACAAGTAGGAATGGCTTTCACATGAACACTGCGCAAGTGTCGCGAGTGTGCTTTTAAAGCGTGATAGACTAGTACAGATCTCGGTATGCATTTGCATGGGGTGATTATGCAGGAGTTCATTTCGAGGACGTCCATTTTCAAGTTAGATCGGCTTTTGAAGTTTTAAGCTTACACATCTCAAACTCTTGCATGCCTTCTCGAGGTCACTGTCTTGGAGACGAAGGCGACGAATGCCTATGCTCCTGCTTACACCGATATGGTTGGCCCTGGCAAGGCGATCATGTGCTACAACTCTCATGACGAGGACTGCAGACGAGGACTGCAGCGAAGTGTTGCTTCAGTTGTTGCAGTCGAAGTATAGTATAGCGTAAGCTACTATACCATACTATACTATATATGATATACTATACTAAACTATACTATATATGATATACTATACTATACTATACTATACTATACTATACTATACTATACTATACTATACTATACTATACTATTCGGTTTACAGGCGACTGCTAGGGTTTGAGTTGCTCATGAGGACAAGAAGGTGTCTTGCAAGATCCTTACCATCCAGGGAGAATCCATCACGGCTGGTCCGATCCTGGACATTGCCCTCGCGCAGAACGAAGCGGGAGATGGGCTCGACGATAACAGCATGGTGGCTGGAATGAATTCTGGGGAGGCAATGTTCTGCCGGCAGCGGAACCGTCAATGCTGGCTTCTCTCGATTTCAGGCTCCACGCTCAAGGTGGTCCAGGAGCTGGCGATGCCATCGAGTCGAGTAAGAGGAAATGGCCACATTTCACGCTTGTGGAGCGATCGAGTCCTGTACTGCTATGGCATGAACCTGCAGGGCGAGATGGGCAATCCCTACTGCCTGACCATCGTGTGCAAAGATGGAAAGTGCTCACTTGGCGAGAAGTCCCACCCAAACGGATCAGACAATGACAGGTCTCCTCTCAGCTACAGTGTTACCACTGACACACTGGCGCCAGGCCGGAGGGGCATTGGGTGAATCTTAACTCAAATGATGCAAGCAAATCACAGAGAAGCTCTTTCTTTCGAGACCCTCGATTGTGTAGCATGTTGAGATGCGTTTTTTTACTACTACTATTACTACTACTACTTACCATTACTATTACTATTACTATTACTGCTACTGTTACTATTACTATTACTGTTACTATTAATATTACTGTTACTATTACTATTACTATTACTTTTGCTTTTGCTTTTACTATTACTATTACTCTTATTATTACTACTACTATTTCTACTGTTATTACTACCATTACTATTAATACTACTATTACTACTATTACCATTATTACTACTATTATTATTATTACTACTACTACTTCTAATACTAGTACTATTACTAGTTCTAGTACTAGTACCAGTACTAGTACGAG